CTGCCACCTCAAATAACTCTATACATAAAACGTAGTCACTAGTAGGGTTTTCTTTTCTCTACATTTGACAGTAATTTGTGGGTTCTTTCTGTTTTGTCCAGTATTAATAATGTATCCTATGTATGTTCATTTAAATATATCTAGAAATTTTTCTAAGGACCGCTGTCCTTTTACTCTTTCGGGCAATATTTTCATTATTGTATTTGCATGAGACTATCTTAAAATTAATTTAATTTTCTTTTTTAAATATTTTATTTATTTATCATGTATACAACATTCTGCCTCCATGCATGCCTGCACACCAGAAGCGGCACCATATCTCATTATGGATGGTCGTGAATCACCATGTGGTTCCTGGGAATTGAACTCAGGACCTCTGCAAGAGCAGCCAGTACTCTTTAACCTCTGAGCCATCTCTCCAGCTCCTTAATTTCTTTTTGATATTTGTTTTTTGTCTTACTGCTCTAGATGTTTGTTTGTATGCTTGTTGTACTTCAAGTATTTTCATTTCTTTCAGTTTTTTTTTTCTGATATATCTTTTGGGAACATATACACACATGGTAACAATTACATTTTTCTATTAAGTTTTCATGTATTTCAATGAAAATTCTTCCATTCTTTAATTTGTGAATACTGTTGTAGAGGCCATTATATTTGTATCAGGTCTAATTTGTTGTCAGTATGATCTCATTGTATCTTCAAAGTCAGGCTGTGTCTCTTAGAAAGAACCTGGGTATTGAAAAAAGGTTCATTGATTTTTTTTCCCTTTATCTTTATTTTAGTGCTAGATGCTGCATGAGAATATGTCTTTTTGGTAAACAAAACGTTGTCAGCTACCATGAAAATGAATAACAATGCTGTATGAACATCCAGGAGCATTCTGGATATTATAGAAAAATCCTCCTGAGGGCCAGTCAAACTTGTTAACTGAAATTATGTTTTGTGTTTATTTTATGAGTCCAGTTTTTGAACATGACACTGCTTGACCGAAGTCTCATGAGTGAATGTGTGAGATTTGTGGTGTGTTGTTGTAGGTGTAGGTGTTTTGTGTTATTACCCCAGTCCCCAAGTCTTCATCAATTTTGTGTACTTCAACCCGGTCTTCCTGGCACAGAAAACACCCTATCTGGAGTGGGTGTTCCTGGACATGGCAGATGATACCTTATTTCTAGCCATGGTTCCCAAACCCCCGATTGAGGATTATGAGCCTAATGAGATATTTTGATGGAGGTGAGCCACATGGTGCTCAATGTGAATGTGTTTGAGGGCACCTTGAAATTAAAAGACCTTTCTCTACCTTCCATTATATCTCCAAAATGATGCTGAAGAGGAGACTGAGATGTAACTGCTGCATTTATCATTTTTGGATTTTCTGATTATGTGTGTCTGTTCTTGGACAGTCTGCTAACTACTTTTTCAATTGGTCCTTGACCCAGTTTCATATTTTGCACAGTCTTCTTGATTTCCATTTTCTGTGTACATATTTATGTTTATATGAGTGTATGTATGTATGTATGTATGTATGTATGTATGTATGTATGTAACTTCATGTCTTGTGGATCTGCTGCCATCTTCTTTTCTGATGAGGCATTGCATACATGTGGTACACATACATGCACCCAATCAACATGCACATACGTATAAAATAAATATTTCAAAAGAGAATTTTTAAAAGTCCAAATTAATTAATTAATATAAAGTAAAATGTTTGTTTCCCTTCTTGGCTGTCAGCTGTTACAATAAACACATTTTGGGGCTTGTAATCATTTTAGTTAGAATACCTAGGTATCTTAAAAGTTTGTCACCTTTCAGTGGCCCTGCTTGTGAGGTCTAGGGGGTGTGGCCTTTCTGGAGGAAGTATGTCCCTGGGGTGGGCTTTGAAACCTAAAGTGTCCCCCTCTCCAGTTCACTCTTCTTTCTGTTTGTGGTTTTAGATGTGGGCTCCAGTGTCCTCTTCTGCTGTTAGACCTGTGGCTTGCTGCCACGCCTCCCCCACGAAGACAGACAGATCCTTCTGTCCCCATCCTGTGCTTCAGCTTCTCCTTTTGTCTCCCCCTCTTCAGTTTTGTTCCTTAGCTGTCCCCAGTGTTGTCCTTTAGTATCTCCCTCTCCTTTTCCTGCTTCATAATGTCCCCATCTTTTCCCTTTAGTCCCTCCTCTGTCTCCCTATAGCTCTACACCGTCTCCTGTACGGCTCCAGTGGGCCTCAAACTTGAAGTCATGATCCTCCTTCCCCTGCCTCAAGAGAAGTAGGATTCTGGGCACAGCCCCAGCCTTCTCTTATTCTTGTTTCCTTATTTTCTCCACCTTATTTTCTGCACCTCAGTCTCTTGGCCCCCTTCTCTCCTTTCTCAATCCTGTTAGCCTTTTCCCTCCTGCAAAGAACGAGGTGCACAGAAATACATGCAGGCGAGCACCCATCACATAAGATAAATTGTAATATCAGTCATGATAACATCCCAGTTCTAGGAAGTCATTATTAAGAACATTTGTATCTGGGCATGGTGGTGCATTTTTTAATCCTAGCACAGGAGAGGCAAAGACAGGTGGAGATCTGTGTGTTTGAGGCCAACTTGGACTACATTGTGTGTTTCAGGCTAGCCAGGACTATATAAAGTCTCATAAAATGGAATATTTTATTTATATTTTATGTAGGAGAAGTTTGCATATGTACCTGCATACCAGAAGAGGACATCAGATCCTATTTATAGATAGCTGTGAACCACCATGTGGTTGCTGGGAATTAAACCCAGGTCCTTTGCAAGAGCATGAAGTGCTTTTAACCTTTGAGCCATCTCCCCAGCCCCTGAGCCATCTCCCCAGCCCATTTTTTTTTAATAAAAAGGGAATCTTTACCTCATATGAATTATTACAAATTGCTATGGTTCAAATACAGTCTTTCCCTGAGCTCATGCAGGAGTTTAACTCCCAAAGTTTTATGTGACAGGAATTAAGAGGGTAAAAAAATGAATCACACTGTAGTTTTGGGAAGTTGTTGGAAGACAAAAGGAGAAGCTGAATCACATTGTAGTTTTGGGAGACAGCAGATAAGGTCACTGATGGGGCTTAATGGCCAAATCCTGAAGGCTTATATACGGCTAAGGAAAGAGCAGACAAACAGACAGACTTCACGATGTAATGTAGCCTAGGAGAGTCCTCAACAAGCCTGCACCATGCTGTTTCATCCTGAACTTCCAGAACTATAAGCCAACATAAACCTCTGTTTCTTAAAAAGGAGCCTGCCTCATGTATTTTGTCATGGTAGCAAAACCCAAACTAATTCATAACCCTTGCACACAGCTATGCAGAAGTTGGTGTTTGCTAATTTGGTAAGTTTAGCAAGTTGGTCATCCGAAGAACTTGAAGTTAATCAGCCCATGGGGAAAATCCTGAAGGAACTGGAGGGACTGCAGGCTCTGATCTGTAACTGAATCCTCTCTCCGGAGGACACACACACACACACACACACACACACACACACACACACAAACGTGAGCGCGCAGCAAAAGAAGTCTGGTCTTCCCCTTGACTCTGTACAAGCCACCCACCCCTGATTCTTCCCAAATGAGTCAAGGTTAAGTCATCTCTGCATTACAGCCAGAGTTTTCATAATTCCAAGATGAATCCAACCATCTAGATTGGAGCAGAAGCAACTGATAGAGCAGAGAGGAAGTGCATCCCAGAGCCGCACAGCAGACCCCGTGCTTCTCAACATCTCTGTGCTTCTGCTTGCCTGGTGATGAAAACAAGGAGAATCCAATATGCTCATATGCTTAGATAGTGTTGGCATATGCTTGTGGTGGTGGTGGCGGTGGCAGCAGTGGAGTGTGTGTGTGTGTGTGTGTGTGTGTGTGTGTGTGTGTGTGTGTGTGTGTGTGTTTTGCCCAGAAGTCAATGTCGGTGTCTGTCTCTACCTCGGTTTTTGAAACAGGGTCATTTACTGAATCTGGCCCTTGCTTATTCAGCTAAATGAGCTGCCACTGAATGCCAAGGACCCCCAGTTTCTGTCTCCCCAACACTGGTATTATAGATGCACGCTGCTACATCTGGTCTTTTAAAATAAGATTCATTTTTATATGTATATGAGTGTTCATGTTTTGTCTGCATATTTATATGTGTTCTTTGTGTGCATCTGGTGCCCACAGATACCAGAAGAGGGCACCTGATCCCCAGGAACTGGTGTGAGTTGTCTTGTGGGTGCTAAAGCCAAACCTGGATCCTCTTCAGCCAGGTTCTTAACTACTGAGTTACTTCTCCAGCCCCAACTTTACCTTTTAGATTGTGTGTGTGTGTGTGTGTGTGTGTGTGTGTGTGTGTGTGTTTACCTTCATGTATACATGTGTACCTCATGTGTGTTGCCTGAGGAGACTAGAGGGGACTGGATCCCCTGGAACTAGAGTTAGAGATGCTTGTGAGTCACCATGTAGGAGGCAGGTCCTGAACCTGAACCTGGGTCCTCTGTATGATTAGACAGCACTCTTAACCAGTGAGCCATCATTGCGGCTCTAATGTTTTATGTTTTTAAGGCTCATGTGAAAGCCTCCTGTGCAGGAGACATCACGTAAGTATTGGAAGCCCTGAGCCTCATCACAGGCACCTAATATTCATCAGGTGACAGCTTGTACTTATTGATCCCTTCTTGTTCTTGTCAGACCTCAAGTCAAAGTTCTTTTCTCTGCATAGCAACTGTAGAGTGATCCTTCTAAGTGCCCTTCCATCCCGAGGCACCTTGGGGAGGAGCTTACTCACAGGCTTCTCTGAGCTTCTGGGAATGGACCACCAGCAGCCTCTAAATCCAGCAGTAAAGTCCCCAAGATCCCCCAGAGCCTGAGCATAAAGAGAGTCCCAGGATACAAGGCAGAATGAGAGGGAAATATTCTAGAAAACAGAAACCATTTGAGAGGACATTTGTAAATCTGAGCAGAAGCCAGAGAGAAGTCCTCTGTCAGGCTTCCATTCCCACCTGTTTCCCCAGCCTATGAGACTCAGAAAAGTAGGCACAAAGAAGTCACGTGACACTGCCCTTCCAAATGTCCTGTTTAAGGTAAGCAAAAGCATCTCATTTGGACAGATCATGCAAACAGGAACACAGACACAGAAGACCAGCTTTTACAGGGGTTCCTACTTGCAATTTACACATCGAGGTTTAACAGATTTTGAAATGTAAGTCACAACCAGACTGTGGCATAAATAAAACTAGATGCTCCCATGCTTCGAAAGGATTCACTTAGCATGTGTGATTAGAAATCACAGTCTCACAGATAGGAACCACATTGTCCCTCTGAGGGTCACCCTCTGTGGATATAAATGTGCTTCATGTTAGCTGCTTGGGAAACTGTCACCTCTTGGGGAACACCATGAGTACTTGACAGGATGCATTTTTTCCCTTTTTTTTTTTTTGAGAAAACCGGTAGCAAGGAGCTGGGACCACACAATGTTCTCTTCTAAGGTTATCACATGAGTGTCAAACGATCTCTGGAACCTCATCTCCTCTGCCTGTTTCTCAGTTTGTCACTCCACAGACAGGACCTGCTCATGCTTTCTGTCGCCCTGAATGAGAGCCCCCTGGTGGAGCATCCAAGAAACAAGGCTCTCTCGCCTTCCTTTTGCTTTGCTTTTTAAGATGCAGTCATTCAAAAACCACTTCCTCTTCTTCTTGACTTTTGAGGGCAGTTTTTGTCACTGTGTTGTTGTTGCCGTTTTAAGAACCAAAAGGAATCAGGAGTTGAGAATGATGGACTTGCAAGCTGTCTAATTTCCTAGGAACTCTGAGACACAGGTAAGGCAGGTTCCAGGGTGGGGCAGGCGGCTCTGGAGAAAGCTAGGAAGGGCTCAGAAGGGCTGTGTTCTGGGAAGTGGTGGTTGCAGTGGAATAGCTGCCATGCCTCTCTGGAAGGGGACAACCACACAACTCTTGCATGAGGAGTCTCAGAGTCCAGGCTAACCCTCCAGAAGAGCCCTAGCCACACATTCCTACTTCAGTTACTAGGGAACTCACATCCAGAGTGCCAGACTTCCAATGAGCACCCAAGACTCCTGCAGTCCCTGAGGTCCAGGTGTACTCTGCCAGGTCTCTTCTTCCAAATACTCTGCTTTCTACCCAAAGTACAATCTTTCTGCCAACGGCTGCCACCTGCTCTTCTTCTGACGGTCCCTGGGAACACCTCCATACTGCTCAGCCCAAGAACTTAGATTCCATTTCCCAACACCCAGGGGCCTAGTGACGCCCATGCTTTCTTCCTCTGGTTCCTTCTTGGACATCAGACGCCGTCCATCCACTATGTAGCATCCTCTTGCTATGCCCTTAGGAGCGAATGTGCAGAATTTTCTTGAATGTCTTTTTGAAGTTCTCATTGCACAGAGGGTAGATGAGTGGGTTCAATGTGGAGTTGATGTAGCCCAGCCAGATAGTGAACATGTGCACGGGTTCACTGCAGCAGCTTTTGCAAAAGGCGATGACCATGAAGAAAATAAAATAGGGAATCCAGCAGAGGATGAAGGCCGCCATGATGAAACCTAACTGCTTGGCTGCCTTCCGCTCTCGGTTCAAGTGCAGCCCAGACACATACTGCCTGGAATGTGAGCGGAGCCTCTTCCAGGTGACCTTGATGTAATCTAGGCCACTGTTAGACCCGCTTCTCAGTTTGTCTTTGCCCAGCCCTGGCTCTGTGCTCGTGTCGGAGTCGGTGGTCCGGGAGAAGGACTGTCGATCCACCAAGGTCTGGTCCTCCGATGTTTCACTGATCCGCCGGCAAGTATTCAGGCTCTGCTCATCCATTTTGGGCTGGCTCAGGACCTGGTCATTGGCCTCTGAGCCCCTGCCACCTCCCTCAGCCACAGTGTGTGTCCGTGTGACGTCAAGATGGAAACAGTGACGTGAGACTGTTTCCCTATCTTCCTCTTGGCTGAAGACAGTTGGAGAGTTCGGGTTTTTGGGGTCTTTGGATGTTGACTTCTGCTCCAGTTCTCCACTAGTGTCTCTTGATGGCCTTTTCAAAACACCCCAGGGAGACTCTTTCCCAGGTTTCTTGGTATCCTCCTTGACATCCTCCGACTTCAGCTTGATTTCTAAGAAGGAAGGGAGGGAGCCGTTGGTGAGCTGGCGGTGCTGACAGTGTTGCCGCACGGCCTTGTAGATCTTTACGTAGAACCACAACATGAGCAAAGTGGGAAGGTAGAAGTTGATGATGGCGGTCATGATCTTGAACCAAGTGACATTGTAGAAGTCTGTCTCACACTTGTCTTCCCGAAGCTCTGAGGCCGGGGACATGAAGTGATGCCAGCCAAGAATGGGTATGACCCACAGGAAGGAAAGAAACCAGGCCCCCAGGATGGTGGTTGATGCACGGGTCTTGGTTCGATACCTCAGGTACCGGAGGGGGTGCTGGACGGATCGGTATCGATCAATACACAGGATAAAGACGCTGAAGATGGATGCTGTGCTGGCCACATAATCCATGGAGAGCCAAAAGAGGCAAAGGGGGCGGCCCAGGGACCACTTGGCCATGATGAGATAAAGGATATTCATGGGCATGACGACTGCACCTACAATCAGGTCTGCTACGGACAGGCTGACAATGTACAGGTTGCCCACGGTGTGCAGCTTGCGTTCACTGTGCACGGCATACAGTACCAGCAGGTTGAGACCCACTGTGACCAGGGAGATGCTACTTAGAACCACCACTAGGGGCAGCAGCTGAGGGCTGGCCATGGCGGTTCTGTTCCCCTCACACATCTTGTCTTCGAAGGTTGAGGAGACGTTGGGAAGGCTCATTGGCGCAAGGGCAGCCTCCAGCGATGGCTTCCACCCTGGGAGAAAAGACACATGATCAAAGTCAGAGATCACCTAAGAGAGCATCATGCTGCTCAGACTGGGATTGAAGCTTCTGGGGGCAGTGGGCACCCACCCAACGCGTCCACTCATGCATTCCTTCTGTCCTCGCATCCCATGATTCCTGGCATCATTCTGGGTATCAGAGATAGCAGTGGATAAACTGGACAAAACCCTCTGATCTCGTGGAGTTTGCATGCCAGAGGTGAGTCAGAACAGGGCAATCGGTACCTTGTGCAGGTCTTATTTCAAACATGTCCTGATTGACCTGAGCTTTGTCTTGTCATCTGTGTCCTTTTTGCTGGTTGCTGGTCCTGAGACAAAATTGTGGCCAGAAAGAGGCAGTGGGGCTCACAAAGCACTCTCTCTCTATGACAGATGCCAAACTATGAAAAGCACCCTTTCCCTTCTATCCTCTTCCCAGAAGGAAGTGAAGACAGGTGTTTGGAGTATGTCAGTAGTTTGGAGGCGGTCAGGGAATTGTGAAGAAAACCTCAGAGGCTCCAATTTAGGGTTCAGTTGTTACTCGGCTGCTGAAGCGACCCTGAAATCTTGGTGAACAATAAAGTCTAGTAGCTAAATTCTTTCTTTGCTTAGGTCACTTCCCAGGGAGAACTGACTTGTAGCTATGAGCATCCCTAATTGGATGAGATTCAGGAGAGACAGAAGAGGTACAGAGATGTGGACTGAATCTAGCATAGGCCCAGGAAAGTCCTTTGCACTGTGGATATAGCTCAAGGATAGAGGGGTGGTTAGCATCATCAAGGCCCTGGCTTCCAGCCCAGCATCACAAACAAGATGTTTGTTTGCTTATTTGTTTGTTTATTTTTGTCTGTGTTTTGGAGACAAGATCTTGGTACAGGCATGAATGGCATGGAACTCTCTATGCAGACCAAGCTGGCCTTGAACTTGCAGCAATCACCCTGCTTCTGCTTCACCAGTGCTGAATTGCAGGTATAAGTCCCACCATATCTGGCTTCAAAATACTAATTTGCTTATTTTTATGTATTATAATAAGCAAATTAATACAAATTTTAATTTGCTTACTGCATACAATTTAGTATAATTTTAAAAAGGGTCTCAGTTAGCCTAGGCTGGCCTCAAGTCCCTAGGTAGCTGAAGATTACCTTGAACTCTTAACCTTTCTGTCTCTATCCTTTGAGTGCTGAGATTAAAGGGTGTACCATGCCTGGCTGATGCGTGTTCTATTCCCCATCTCCCTTTCTCCTTCATATTTGTGGAATGTCTTTTATGCAAAGATAGGAACAAAAGCTGCTTAGCATGCAGGGAAGCCTCACTTCCATCCTTAGCACCCCAAACAAAGTAAAAACAAGTTCCACAAACCAATAAATGAATGTGATAGTATCAACTGTCAACTTGACAGACTCTAGACCTGTGTGTTGAACCTGTGTTCTGAACCTGTGTGTTGTAACCATCGAATACCAGATATCCTGCAGATCAGATATTTACATCATGATTCCTAACAGTAGCAAGATTACAGTTATGAAGTAGCAATGAAAATAACTCTATGGCTGGGATCACCACAACCCAAGGAACGGTATTGAAGGGTTGCAACAATATGAGTGTTGAGAACCACTGCTCTAGAAGCACAGGCCTCTGTGCATGTCTGTGAAGGATTATCCTCATTAGACTAATGATGTAGGGAAGCCTAGCTCCACAGAGGGTAGTACCTGGGTAGGGAGCCCTGGGCTGTGTAAAATGGAGAAAGCCATCCAAATATGCATTTGATTCATTGCTCTTGACTTCTTGGCTGAAGATACAAGGTGTTCAGCTGCTTCAAGCTCCTGCTACCCACCCCTCACCCCCAAGAGCTGAAAGCAAGAACTGTGAGCCAAAATAAACCCTTCCCGTTTTAAGCTGCTTTTGTTAGGGTATTTGTATCACAGAAACCAAAAAGACAACTGTATGTTAGACGAGTGAATGGATGGCGGAGGGGTCTGGCTCAGCGGCAATATACTTGTCTGGCACGGGCAAGGCCCTGGGTTCTATTCTCGATGTGATCCAAAAGAAATGAATATGGCTGGAGAGGTGGCTCAGCAGTTATGAGTGTCTGCTGCTCTTCCAGAGGACCAGCTCTGTACCCAACAACTACACTGGGTGGGTCACAACCACTTGGAACTCTAGATCCAAAGGATCCACTGTCCTCTCCCAGCCTTGGAGGACACTGCACTCATGTGCACATACCACCCTCCGTATAGAATTTAAAAGATAAAATCCTTCAGAATTAATATACAAAACAAATGTGCAAGAGGCAGTGTGCTGTGAGGGACTTTGGCTCGCAGAACTTCTTCATTCAGCCAGTACTTGCTGTAAGGCTCCTTTACATTCTCCTGCTGACCTAGCCCAAGAGGAAGCCAGCTGCTTTGCCCTGCAAAGTGGCAGGCCTGGGAAGAGAAGCTCTTGGGAGCTGAGTTTTTTGGTGGGGGACCTGATGGAGTGGGGGAGCTGTTGGAGGGAGCCTGTTGGGATAGAGTTGTTGGGGGGAGTTGGTGGAGGAGGCCTGTTAGAGGGAGCCTGTTGGGGGAAGCTGTTGGGGTGGAGCTGGTGGAGGAGGCTGGTAGGGGAGACCTATTGGGAGGAGCTGTTGGGGTGAAGCTGTTGTGGCGAGCTGTTCCTGAGCGTTTGATTTTGTGTCTGCATTTGCTGAGAAAGCCCTGTCTGTGCTCAGCTCCACAGCAAGGCCTGAGGAATGCCTGCATTTCCATGGAAGTGGGAAAGCCTTGGGGACCTCTGGGGGCCAGCTGGAAGCCCAGAAAAATCTGGCCACACAGGGAACACAGAAAACAGTGCTGGCCTTCGAACGGCTGGGGCAATTCCAAGAAAGGAGGGAGAGCCTTAGGGACAGGCTTGACGGATGTTGGGGACTTCTCAGGAAAAAGAGATGCCTCAGGGACCCATGGATTCTAGGCCTGGGGCCTATGGTTACACAGACAGGGCTTCAGAGGGTCCACAAGAGAGATTTCCTCTACTCCATGTCCAACTTAGGACCAGCTACCTTATTGGTAGACCTAGTAAAATGAAAGAAAACAAAATAAAAAAATGGGGCTCAAATGTGGAGCTTCACCCTGCCCAGGCAAGTGCCCTAGCACCAAGCCTCACAGCCCTAAATGATCAGGAATCTTGTGACAATGGATGCAGAATATCCCTGCATCTGAGACCATTCTGAGCATTGGCCTCTGGGCAGCTGCAGGGTCACAGAGTCACCATGGCTGGGAAGTATGTGTGCTATATCCAGCCCTTAGACAGGATCTAGCCTGGAAATATCTCATGAGTGTGCTTCTCCCTTCCTTTGGATCAGCAGTTTGAAGAGCAGATCCATAAGCAGTTTCTAGAAGACGACCAGACACTGTGGCAAGAGGTGGAGACATGCCAACACAGATCCCCATCCAGTCTCACAGCCCAGAAAGACTACAGAGAAGGTGGGGACATGACCCTATCCACCCTTCCATCTCACAAGAGACTGCCAAGAGGGTAGAGGACACACAGAGATAGGGACACACATCTGGCCTCTATCCCACAGGGGACTGAAGACAGTGTGGGGGACATGGGCTCACATCTGACCTCACAGAACACAGGGGACTGAAGAGAAAGTGGGGATCTCAGAGACAGGGGCCCAGGGCCCATGGGGGAAAGTGAAGGGACATAAATCCTTTCTCCCCAGGAGACTGAGCAGCCTAGAGCTCTGGCAAGGCATTCTTATGTGAAGAGCAGAAAAAATGCCCTCCTTCCCCATTTTCCCCTCCCTCCTTTTCTCCTTTCCTCTACTGCTAGGAGGTGGGGGAGGCACAGTCAGCTGGACATAGGCTGTGCAGGCTGAGGCAATGAGGATCCAGTAAAATGCAACAGTGGGCCCTTCTTCCCCAATGTCAGCAGACAGGGTGACATTCTTCTGATTTACAGTGGTGAATACAGACCAAAGCCATCAGCAGGCACAGGCTCTCTAGTGATTACAAACACTATAATCCAATCAAGTTCAAGTACCATGAAGCAAGCCCAGAGTCAATGTTCCTTCCACATTCTGGACCACAGAGAGTTAAGAAGCCAAGCCCCGGGTATCTCTCACACATCAGTCATATTAACCTGAGCAGCCCAAGCTCAGAGAGGCCAAGCAACTCACTCAAAGCCACACAGCTAGAGTATTTGCTGAGATGGTAGCCTAGGTTTACTCAGACCCGCCTGAGTACCACTGGAACTTGGGGGAGGCATTACTCTGTGGTAGGGGCTTCTCTATGCCTGGTCTGCACAAATACTCCCAGCTTCTGTGCATGGAACACCAGCAGCAGATATCTCCCAGTGTGAAAACCATATGTCTGATGTCAAATTTTCCATGGGGGACAGAAGAAAATGTGACCAGAGTTATGGCACATTTCTGTAGCCTCGGACACAACATGCATCTCACAATAAGGAAGCTTTGCTTGTGGGTTTAAAGGTGCGCGCGTGTGCGTGTATATGTGTGTGTGTGTGTGTGTGTGTGTGTGTGTGTGTGTAGGCACTCTCAGAGGCTAGATATGTGCACTGGATCCCATGGAGCTAGCATTACAGGTAGCTGCAAACTGCCAGACTTGGGTGCTGGAATCCTCTATAAGAGCAGTTCGACTCTGCCACTGGGTCGAGTCTTCAGTCCTTGTTTTTTTTATTTTTTTATTTATTTGAGACAGGGGCTTGTGTAACCCAGGCTAGCCTCCAACTCGAAGTCCCTATATAGCCGAGGGATGACTCTGAACTTCCAATCCTCTTATCTCCATCACCTAAGAGCCGCCATGCCCAGCTTTATGCAGTCCTGGGGACAGAACCCAGGGCTTCCTAAATGCTGCCAACTGAGCCTCATCCCCAACCCCAAGGTGGGTCTTTCCCAATTCAGATCTTATCCAGAAAGCAAAGCATTGCCTTGAGAGATCCAAGCTCCCCCGTCATGGGAAGCACATGACAAGCGGTAGCTTCCATCTGCTCTAAA